ATCAAGGGACCATAACTTTGTCATCTATCTACCCCAGCTTTCCACTTTCCCTCCCAACTGTATCATCTATCCCAGGACCCCAACTGTTGGCTCCACTGAATAGAATATGCTAAAGGAGGCACTGGGACTTCTGAAATAAGTTCATAAATGTATGTTTCCATTGTGACGGAATTTTTTGGCTCTATTTGCAAGCACTCATATGTGTAGGCTGGTCCCCTGACCTCTCCACCGAGTAAACAAAGAAAATTACATTTTGAGAACCTGATTAGGAAAGCAGTGAGAACTGTCAGGTTTTTGGTCCTTTCTTTTCTTTTCCTTAATAGTATTAGTTTTTAAACTACCACATACTTTGGACCACACCTGTATGCAGAATAAGGAGCTCAGTTCCCTTCTTGGCAGAAAGGTCATGTGACACAGCCTGGCCCACACATGGAGAGTAAAGAAATTGGCAAATGTGCTCCCACCAGATAAATCGGTGGAGTCGAGTGTCAATTCCCCCCACACTTGAGGGGGTGTGAGTTTTCTGTTTATATAGCACACTTCAGGGAGTATATGACCTTTAAATTTTTAAATATAACTACTTGGATCTTCAACGGAAAGTGGAGGAGGTGCAAGAACTAGAGAGAGAAGTTGGAAAAATACTTGCCAATTTGTAACTCCCCCCCCACACACACACACACCATTTATTATTATTATTTAAAATAAAAAGCACTGATTTGCTAAGATATGTCTTTCTTCCTCCTTTTCTACAGCCCCTGCCCCTCCCAGGTGTGCTCAATATCACCTGTGGGGAACAGGGGCCACAACAGCCTACTTCTCTCCCTCCTGCCCCCGTTTTCCTCCCAAATCAGATACCAACAGGCGTGGTATTAGCAGAAAAAGAATGAATCCGTGTTTCCTACCGGCCCATCACCCCCCCAAAGCCGTAATCCGAGATGTGGTCCGTGGGGGACTGCAGGTCGTTTTTGGAGGAGGCCTTGTCGTCCAGCAGTGGCCCACTGCTGGCCTCACTGTCCGCCTTCTGGCTTAGGCTGTCGGAGAAGGCATCATCCCTGGGGAGAAGGACAGATGTGAGTTGGGAGTGCTCCAGAGGATGTGCCGGGCTCTGCTGGGTCAACATACACCTCAAGGTTAAGATACACCCACAGCTCGGGGTGAGTCACCTCCCACGTCGTTTCACCACTACCGGCGCTCCTAAGTCAGTTTCTCCAGCAGAACTTCCTCCTCTGACCCACCACCCCATGCCTACCTTCTCCTCTCCCCTCCTCTAGGTTCTTCTCTCCCAGGGGTGAGGACAAGCTAAATAATGTTGGACGGTGTGTTGGAGAAATGGGGAGCGGACCCTGTAAGCTGGGCACTGAGTGCTGACTCTCCATGTGGTTCTGTGAGGAGTGGTTTAGGGGTAAGCAAGGGAGGGAGAAGGTGCCGCCATCCCTCCCCTCCTCACCCAAGGCTTGAACTGTGAGGTGGCTGGAGCTAGCTGGATATCTCTGCCAGCCTCCTCCCACACCCTCTCCCTTCCAGTGCCCTGTCCCTGTCCACAGAGGCCTGGGGACATCAGAGTGCCGGGAGCCCCCCCTGTGGCATTCCTCATGGGATATACCCATTCCAGACGTCTCTGGCTTCAGGCCGTCCCCTCTGCCACCAACGCTTTGCCTTTGGCCCCCTTCCCTTGAGGTCTAGCTTGGTGGCTGCTTCCTTGATAAATCGGTTCCATGGAGCCTGACCAGAGCTCAGTGGGAGTGTGTGTGCAGGGACCCTCAACAGCTTTCAGAGAATGGAAGGTGTGGACTTTCTGGCTCTCTGGTAGGGCTAGTATTTGGGATGCGGGGCCTTTTTTCAGGCCTGAAATTGTTTAAAAGAAAATAATACCTATAGATTCAGGGAACAGATAGGTGGCTGTCAGAGGTGGGCAGCGGGGGGTGGAGAGGTGATATAGGTGAAGAGGGTCAAAAGGTACAAATTCTCAGTTACAAAATAAATAAGTCCTGGGGATGTGATGTACAGCATATTTACACAGCACATAATTATGTATTGCATATTTGGAAGTTGTTAAGAGAGGAGATCTTTAAAGTTCTCATCACATATGAAAAAATTATAACTATGTGGTGATGGATGTTAACTAAATTTATTGTGGTGATTATTTTGCAATATATAAAAATATCAAGTCATTATCTTGCACACCTGCAATTAATATGTTATATGTCAATTATCTACACTAATAAAAGAGAAACATGGTAATTGGCGTACGACCGCTACCCTTCCCATTGGCTAATCAGGGAGATATGCAAATTAACTGACAGCCAAGATGGCGGCCGGCAGCCAGGCAGCTTGAAACTAACA